TTTTTTCTTTATGGAAGCAGTTTTGACACAGGGCGTAGGCCGACTTAACCTCAGCAACACCTCCAAGCTAGATGAACCATCGTCCTCGTCATTGTTCAGATCCACTTGCAGAGCCTCATACCTATTACGCAAGGGCACCTGGGAAGGTGGGGTAGTCACAGAGGAGATGGGCCTGCTGTGCTAAGCAGGAACTTGTCACCATTGCCCCCTATCCCTTAAGTCACTGTGTTCAGCCAGGTGGAGAGAGGATACATAGACCAAACTGACTGAGATGCATTATTCTACCAAATTTCATAAAGTTGTGGTGTGCCAAATCACACCACACAGCCCCCATATTCCCCACAGCATATCAAAACCATCCATCCTTTCTTGCAAAATATATAAAATTCTAACAACTGACATTTAGGATGGAACGCCTTGCAAGTCGCTCAAATCCTCCATCCTGAAAGTATCCCCACACCTGCCTCCCAGGTCTCAGCAAAGCCCCATCCTTGTTTTCACAGATGTTGTGCAGAACACAGCACACAGTTATTATTCCAGACAAGTACTATTTAGTTGCCTCAAGCCTTCTAGTTTGTACCTGCCACCTACCTTTCAATTTCCCAAAGGCACGCTCCATTGTCATCCTGCAGCTGCTTAAGTGGTAGTTAAACACTTATTTTCTACAATGCAAATATCCAGCCAAAGGACTAATTGTTAATGTTTTTAGGGAGTAGAGTGAATCTCGGGGGATAAGAAAAGGAATGCTGATGCTATAGGTATCACACTGCTGGCTCTTCCCCCTGCTCAGTAATGCATACAGCCAGCTGTGCAATATTATATGAGAAATTTTTTCCTTCCTGACCCTTCCCCATGTAGCAAACACTCCATGCCCTGATGCAAGATACTTCCTCCTAATTCTACTATCTTTTTAATTTCTCCCTTACTCATTACTGAAAACAAGTAAGATTTTCTGAAAAATCTAGCACCTTATACTGCATTAAAATTAGTTAATCTAACATGTAGTTAAGAAAGGTATTGCAGCACACCGAGGAATCAACCTTTCTCTTTGTGAATGCCAGCAACCGACATGAAAAAAAAAAATAGAAACAGGGGTTTCATCAACAGTTAGAGTCAGAAATTCCCCATACACAAATCAATTAGTAATCTCACAAAAATTGGCAAGCATTATCAGATACAATACCACTTTTTCAATAGCAATACAATGACTTTTAGAAAAAAGCCATTTCTAGGTCTGCTAATTTGGCTGTGGGGACCAGATGGAAATGGATAAACATTTTCATCAAGATATAGAAAGTCACAGCTGGAAAATAGCTTCTGGATTTCCTAGGTAACCCCCATACACATCATCAGGAAAGCACATTTGGATGTCCTGAAGTTCAGGTGCCACTACCAGTCATTGCTGGTGATGGCACAGTCTCCCTCATCTCCTCTCCATGCATTTACTTGAAGATCTATACATTTCCAGTATCTCCGTTGTCCATAATGATCCGTTACAGATTTGGAAATGGTGCTGGCTTCTTGAAGCAGCTAACATACGTCATGAGAGGAACCATGGGATTCTGTTAGTTTGATTTTCAGGAGAAAACTTTGGCTACGTATCCAACCAGGAGCTACAGGCGTAATCCCACGAAGCAGAGACCGGCCCCAGCAGTGGCATGCAGACACACGGCAAGAGCCACCGCGTCGTTCAGACGCTCCTCCATCACATCGAAGCAGTGACCTGTCGTGAAGCAAAAGGCTGTTTGTTACCATGCCTGTGTTTTGTGCCAATTATCAGGCAGTTACACTGAAAAATGTCGCTTTGATGTAAATCTCTTCAGGTAGTGAATGTTAAACACCACGCACTGCTGGGTAGGTGTATGATTTTGCAGGATTGGAGCCCCTATCCAGGACTAATTAGCAAGACTGTGCCAATCTGCAGTCCATGTACTGGACTGCTGGGCCCGGTGCAACTGCTACACAGTAGGATATCATAATTAGCAGAGATGCAACACACTGAATAATTGGAAAGATAAGGAAATGCCACTGAAGTTTATATAAGGGAAGAAATTTCCTTAGATCTAGACAATCTCGTGTCACCATGAAACTTAAGGCTCCTTCGTGAGGGTGTGACGGAGCACAGCTATTAAAAAGCGGTAATTTCCTTTTTGCTGTGATGAAGCCGTCATTACCAGGGAAGCGAGGAGGGCCCAGGGGCAGTGCCTGAGCCCCTCTGCCAGGGGAGCCGGCTGGGGAGCGGGGCAGGAGGGC